TGAGTAAACCAGATACATCGAAAACACAACGAAATTATAATCAAATACAAAAGTTCTCAATCAATCAAATGTCTCCAGTTCTCTCGTAACGCCTAAATAAGTTAAACTATTAACCATCGGTATTTACTATGCATCTTATGGTGGCTTGTTATAATAGCTTCATACTAAACCATTGTTCTTGATTGAAATTTCGATTTGTTTGACCATTAACTGATCCTCGATTAGATTTTTGTCCTGTGCACATTAAGAATCAAATCAAATATTTGAAATTTACAGCCCGTAACTCTTTTTCTATCTTTGGTTTACCTTTAAGTTTATCTGAAGGACTCTGATTATTCGTTTTGAACATATAAATACTGCGATGATTGACATTCAACCTGAAACACTTCGAAGTCAAAAATGTTTACGCGTGAACACAGGTTTAGTATGGCACCGTTTGGCCTTGCAGGTGTGGTCATTTTTTGCAACTCATTCCTCGTAATGTTAAACACCCCATTTAATTCCCAGACCAAGTGTTATTTTTAGAAATGCTGAACATGACACCACTGATTGTTAGGTTTAACGAGTCAGTATAGACATTGATGTGACCTTTAGGTAAGATTTTATAGACTAGATGGTTACATCGTGACAGGCCCACAATTTTGGTATCAGTTCCATTGTTATGGTAGCGAACAAAAATGCTCTCATGCCGAGCTATATCACAGCTCCACGAAATCCTTGGCAGAGCCTCAATGTTGGCAGCAGGATATAAATGCAAATATATGCCGTACAACAAACAATTTAGAAAGATCACCCTTCAAAGAGGATTTCACGGCCTGTGTCGTTTGGCGCTTGACAGTATATACATGCAGACTATCATGGTCAATTTTTCGACAGTACTTTGCACTTGTAGTCACTGATTCTATTACTAAGTGACCTGAAGTTTTCTTCAAAAATTCACCAAATTCTGACTTTGCGATTCAGGCACTAGGAAACATTTTTAGTTGAGAAAAGTTCACCATGGTCCAAGTGTGCCTGTTCCAACTCTCGTTGTTAGTTCTATTACCAATGTGTGCATGCTAGATCATATAGACTATATTTATACATATGAAGCCATATCAACACGGAATAGATCCAAAGAGAAGACGTACAATCAATTACAGGAATCTCAGACACCAGTTAAGCTGCAGTGGCTGCAGTATTCGTACAAACTACAAACTAATGATACTGAAGATGGCACAGGTATTCAGTGTTTGACAACGCTTCTACCAGTAACACCTTCCAATATAATTTGTACCCACCCAGAGAAACCAAAAGACAGAGTCGAGGAGATCAGAAGAGTGTATTTGGCGATTACCAATATATCGGAATTCTCTGATCTAATCTGACTAGCGATTGCCGTAGATGTTGTGCACAGCGTCACCACACGTGATCTGGTGCGGATGCATGACCGAGCGCCTTCATCTTGATGAGTCCACTAAAACATATAGTCAGCATCCAATGTCGAAAACTTACAGAGCTATTTATTTTGGGGATTTATTTACCGCTACAATACCTTTGCAGTTGATTTCCTGACAATTACGATTTCCGAATATAATACGTCCAGTTGCATATATCTGTAGTGGCATTGGACCATAACCACACAATCTTCAGAGCTGAACACAAGACTACTCAGAAAATAGGTATTCAATATTTAACGCGGAGAAATACCTAACAATGGAAAAGGCGGGAACAGTTAATTGAATGAATTAGAGTTGATGGAATGGCATGGCTCGGCCATACAGGCGTGGTCCCTGATGAACGTTACCTTATATCTTCTATTCATATTAAATATATTGTTCTTTCTCTAGCCTGAGCTTGTTCTACATCATGTATTGGTAGTTGTTACGATACAGTGAGTTGGTGTAGATGATGTGACTTCCACGTAAGATCTTATAGATTAGGCAGTTATATCCTGACAAATCTACAATTTTAGGATTATGTCCATTATTAGAGCAGTACTAATATCATAGTAGACTATAATTCTACATTGGTAAGCCCGACTAAAGAAACGCAGCCATAGTTCTACATATCTACGTATCTTAAATTGCATTATTTTGGAAGTTCCTGGTCGGAAAATCAATGTTAACAATTCTACTCATCATAAAACATCATAGAGAATTCGACGGGCAGCTCACAAGCAGGTAGACACTTTGGACTTCCTACATAACCCAGCTCTCTCATCCCATATACAGCAACAAGTACAGGTGAAGACAGCCATTATGTCAACGGCCTCTAAAGAAGAAACTGAGATCCGAAAGTACAACATTTATAACTTTAACCAGTCGCACTCGATGGAGATCTGGATGAGCTAGAAATGTGCTACTTACCTGAGCAGCATCAATGCTAAACAAGGTTCTAAATCACGGATTAGCAAATCGAAGACAGGATCACCACAAAAGATAGAACACACGCTGCGGAAGTCACCAAACTGCATCTCAGGTTAAGCAGTGACTTGAGGTCCTGAAGGGAAAAGGAAAAGCGGTCGACAAAGAGCACGCTGTGTTGGAAATCGAAGGCAGATATCGAGAGAATGTGTAGCAGTTAGGAAATTGGGAGAAGCCGAGGTGATGAGCCTAGGGTATTATAGGCTGTAGCATCACGGCCTAAGGTTTATTATCCATGAAGATCTAGTAAATATACTCGGCATTTCGGTTTACCCTCATTAGAAACCGGTTATTTACTGTGGGGTCTCGCACTTAATTTTGTGACACCCGATTTGTTAAACCAAGTAATGACAAGGATTTTGAAATTGTTTAATCTCTTGTAAATGATCTTTGGTTGAAGAGTATTTCCAACCTGCACACAAGTGGAAGCGATTCGGTCCACTTTGAAACGTTTGCAGCTGAGAGTGAAAATTTTAGCTGTTCGTGAGAGCGTTCTACAAACCTGTCGGCTTGTTGATAGTAGGCGGTCGTTCGGACTCGTGTAATTATTAGTGGTGTTGGCGGACAACGGAAAATTCCCTATTTGAACTTGTGTGCACATTCTATACTGATAGTTGAAGGACAGGTGAAGTTTCCTCCCACCGTTCAGCCAAGGCGCTGGTCATCGTTTCAGCAGTAATGTTCTTGTATAGTACTGTTCCTGGCAATCCTGTGCAACGTTCCACACAAGACAAGAGATTATGGTATCCATTTGAATATGGTAAGTGTGCTACTAAATTCAGATGAACATGGTCGGAACGAGCTTCGGCAGCTTTGAATGAGCCTAGAGGACATTTGTGTCTCATGACCTTAGATTTCTCGCAGCATATATAGAGGGACGTGTTCAGTCACTCACGTCTTTCTCAATAACAGGCCGGCAGAATCGTTCTACTATGAGGTTGATGGTTGCTCGAGCACTTGGATAAGGAAACGTTTGCACGTACTGAAGACGTTGCGTCGATAATGTTTCGGCACGATTGGACGATCCCTACCTGTAGATTTGTTAGATAATATCTCCATCTGTTTAGTACGCAGTTATAAATTGTCGAGGATAACTTGTGCTGAAGACCAGTGTCATCTTTTTGAAGCTGGGCGAGTTTAAGAAGGTTGATTTCTTGAAAACCGTTCAAGAAAGTTATACAAGACAATGCGTCTGCAACTACATTGTTTTCCCCAGGAATGTGCTGTATATCCGGAGTAAACCGCGAAATGTAGTCCACTTGTCGAGACTCTCGACGGGAGTACTTGTTTGAAGGTGAGCCTAAAGCGAAGTTAAGAGGCATGAGATCGGTGGAAAGAGTGAATTCTCAGCCTTCGATAGAGCATTGAGAGTGCCGTGCAGCATAACACATGGCTATAACTTCCTTAATGAAAGTGCTATACCTCGATTCTGTGTCTAGAAACTGTCTAGTAAAGAATTCCAAAGATTGCCATATCTGTTTAACCCATTATTGTAAGACTCCTCTGATTGCGCAGTCGAATGCTTCCATCGCAATGCTGATAGATGTTTTGGTGTCGTAATGTGCAAGCAATGTTACTTAGGGTGTGAGCTCCTAAACTGTAGAATGCTTCTTTGGCGATGTCGTCCGTATTGATGTATTTCTCATTTCCACGAATTTGGCGTTTTGGGTTACCATAAGAGACTCTCTGTTCAGTGCGAATCGTTGAAAGACACCAACCAGGTAATTGAACGTACGTAATTGTTGATTTTGATCTGTTCTGGGTAATCCAGAATGGCCGAGATACAGCCAGTTCTCTAGCGTTGTGTTGGAATGGGAAAAGCACAACCTGCCACTAAAGATTTTGGGGACATATTCATTGATAGACTTCAACAAAACCATTTTATAACAGTGAGCAAATATGAACAACTATATTATTTTGCTCATATTGTTTACCGAGATACTGAATGAGAAGTGCACAATAGTGAAGGAAATTTAGCAGAATATGTTTTTCCATAACGTCAATGTTGTTGTGAAACGAAGCGATAAAATGAAAACTGTACCTTACTTGTACCGGGATTCTTCACAATAGCCATGAGCTGAAATTACATTTACAAGGGCTTCTGATATAATAATATTGCTTAACCCTTGATAATTAAAGACCAGACGACTGGGACAGATGCATTAGTTTGTACTAATGTTATGTCAACCTACAAATAACTCCAGATTAGCTTATACTAATGTTTTTGAGTGACTAAACTACCCTCATAGAACTCTATTAATGTAATAGAACCGTGTTTTAGAACGATAACTTCGTGAAAATAGACCAAATGGCTCATATAAACACGTTTCGAATATTCTGTATATTGAATTGAGGAAAATGGCGTTGGGGCTTACCATGATCTTCCGCCGCGCAGTTTCGAATTTCTTGTTCCTCAGCTGTACAAATGGCCTTAAGGCGTATATCTAAAGTAAGGACATGTCCAATATTTTTGTGCAGCAGAATCGCTTTATTTAGGAGCTAAAGGACTTACGTCTTGATCCTCCAACCCAGTGTTCAGCTGGACCTATTAAAGATGATCGTAAGTCAATATATGCTGTATTAGTTTACATTTAGTGTTTGCCTGGCAAGCCACTATTATGGGACCTGTATGTTCGTTTATTCCGTAATAATGTACCTGTAGGCTGATAGTCCATATGAAGGTGGGATATTCTTCCTGGAAATACAGTTTCCCACAGACTACCCTTTCAAACCCCCTAAAGTAAGCGTTGTATCACTCTCAAGCCAGCCTTGTGACAGATCAGTTTCATGACGAAAATATATCATCCGAATATAAATCTCAGTGGTCATATATGTTTAGATATCCTCCGTGGACAATGGTCTCCTGCCCTCACAATATCGAAAGGTAAACATTCGTTTATAAATACTCAATTTGTGTCTAAATTAGTTCTACTCTCGATTTGTTCACTATTGACGGACCCCAATCCAGATGATCCTCTATGCCCAGATGTCGCACGTCAGTACAAAACAGATCGTAAGAAATATGATGAGTTAGCTCGAGAGTGGACACAGAAATATGCTATGGGACCTTAATGCAGTCAATACACATAACATTTCGATAGACATATTTTCTCCTTTCTTCTTGTACTCATTGATGACGTACGTGTTACATTTAAAGTCGGTTGATTTTTTCAGCCCTCGAGTAACCTTACTTTCTTATTCTATTCTTACTGGTTTGTCACTTGTGCGTTTGTGAAAATGCTTTTAAGGTTGTCGCGAGTATTTCTTCTTTTTTCGAACTAGACTTGTGCCGTGTTTAGTGACAGTTGGCGGTACAGGTTGGTTCACTCAGACGTTTTCATTTGTTTAAATATTTAATTGTATCAATTCACTTTACGAGAAATTCATTACTTGAGCAATTGCTGCTCGTGATACTCATCATCTAATCTTCTCAGAATTTAGTAATCTGTTTATATTTGACCAAAGCTATTAAAACTTGTGTTTATTCAAGAGATTGCTTTAAGGAAAAGTCTGATTTCATGTTGGGAAGAAGATTGCATCAATGAGAGTATCGGATTTTATGGCAGTCTAATCTTGTTTTTCAGTAGTCTGTTTACTCGTGTTAAGGCGTGTATTTTCGTTAGCATAATACGCTTATTAGTTTGTATGAGGTTTTTAGTGACGATCCTAAGCATAGTTCTCTAGTTAATTCATATAACTACTGTCAATTCATCCGTTTTAACTTCGTCTCTGTATGACTTTCGTTGGCTGACGAGATTAACGCCTCTGGATTTGCTTCATAGTACTGGATCGTGAACAGAATAATTATTTATCTTTAAACTTTTCTGAAATTCGTAATATGAATTAGAATTCGTTCCAATCTATGCAGTTAAGTAGAAGTGTTGGTAGGAAATGTTGCACTGTTATTAACCAGCGTTGTTCCACGAGCAAGTATTTAGTCAATATCAAATCTCCATTTATTACTTAGGGCCTTCTTTTGATTGCCTATTAGTTACTTTGATGACCCTAACACTCTTATGATCGCGTTGTACTCGATAAGAAAATGCTTTGGATCACATAATTAATGAGAATGTTTTTATCGCGGAACGTATGTGAAAAGAAAGCTGAAGTCTGTAGTTTATGTTACTATATGGACAGTTGTTCGTTAATCAGTAAGGTAATCGGTAATATTTGATACTGACTGCAAAGCTTATTTCCAGTAGTGGTTGAGAGTGTTTACAGTTCGTATCTTAATCTTCATGAAAGATATTGTTGCTTATGTGTCGTCCCTTCGTCTTCGATCGTTTATTCATTGGTACACTAAAAGGTACAGGAAATCACAACTCTTATAATTTGTCAGTAATTTGTATGCCATGTAGTTTCTAGCTAGTGATACTGGGTCCTTGCCATGGTAATCGATGACGCTTCACTATCTCATTAAGCGATTTGTAACATTTGACTAGTATCCTATGCTTAACCACGAAACAAGCAATACATACAGGAAACCTATGGTCAAAATCATGTAACCTACGCTGTCACTGAAGTAAGTGGTGTATTTCCAAATTATATTGTTGGTGCACCGAAAAGTGTGATGAGATTCTACCACATCCTGACACTTGTTAAAGCCTCTTCGTCCGAATCTGAATGCACAGTGTTTTAGATTCGAACAAAACAGTCAGTCTATTTTCCGAACTTTAGTAGCGTAAAGTAAGAAGACAATTTGATTCGACAATGAATATTATTTATTTGCCCAATGCACTCTGAATAACAGTCTGATCATATTTATTTACAATTGATTGATCACCGGGTAGTGATCAGTGCTATGTGAGTCAAGTCTTTCTTAGTAGTGCTGGTTAAATGTGGTCATCGACGTCGCGTGCATTATGTTAAAACAGGATGGTGTTTAGAGGTGGCTATCAGGAGACGTTAGACCTAGGTTTTGTGATGCATGGTACTCCTCAACAAGGTGTAACTGTAATGTCACCGGTAGCCCGAATTGCGTGGTACTAATGTCCTTGATTGTGAATTTAATTGTAACTGGTGACCGGATGTGTTTTTGCAGCATCAGTCCCTTCAAAATTGCAGGCGCACCTTGTTCGAGGGTGTAAGATATCACTGGACTTAGGTTAAGCTGTGGATCCTGCCGACTGCTTTCGGCTGCCACCTTAAATGATGTTACGTATATTTGTCATTTAAATATGGAAGCTAACGAAGGATGAGTAATTGTGTAATGTGCTGTCATTGTGAACAACGGAGAGAGAGAGAGTGTGTGTTGTATGATGTCGATAAAATAAGTTTTTATATCATTCTAAGCATTGAAGTTGATTTACCAGGTTATGGGATGCAAGTTTAGGACAAATTATTTTTGTACTCATTGTCCTATAATCCACACATCCTTCGATTTGCATTTATCTTTTAGTCGGTTGACATTCATTGTTTCTTCTCGCTGTGTATGTGTAAATGTCTTGAGTATGTATGTGATCTTTGATGGAAATGTCTACTGTACATATATATAACACCAGGTTTTCACTGTGAACCGTCTTTTTAATAGTACTAGAAGTGGGAATTTGTGCTTACTGTCTGATAATCCCAATGGATTATTATATTAAAACTGTAAGCATTCAATTTCTAGACTTAATTGTATTTTGAGGATTTCAGAGTACTGGTGATCAAACTGTACAGACTATTGTTAATTCATTGTCTATATACTCTATAATTTATTTTGAACTTTACTCGAGTGGACAATATTGAGGCGAGTTTCAGAATAATGAGTAAATCTGGAAATTGGTTGACGATGTTGTTGCTGTAGTGAAGCTTAATTGATCACGTTGTATGAAATATGTATCATGTAACCGAGCCTCCTTTCACCTCACATTTAGATGTCGATTGTTATGTAGGTGTTTTTGAAGAATGCTAAGTGTGTGTAGATTCAAAAGTGGTATCATTCCATGAATTCACTGAGTGTTGGACTGAGTTTAACGTGTAGGCGTAGATTACTTAATTAAGGTTCGAGTGGTTATCGTGACCATCGATTAGAATTGTTGAATGACATAACTGAGAATCGGTCGCAATGATTCACGTAGGTGGATTGACAGTTCGTTTACCCATTGGATTTGCAAACTATTTTATGCTGCAATTTCATTCCTTCTACTCGAGTCATAACGCCGATGTCTAGTGTTTCGTACTCTCACTGATACTGTTACCACTTTCTTGTTTGTCTTCATAATTTCATCTGATTGTACAGACTATTAATATTTCTTTGTCTATGTACTTTGTAATTTATTTTGGAATTTAATCGAGCGTAGATTAATGGTTTGAGATTCAGATATATGTAAGTCGGTAAAAGTCACAAAATGTTTTGTCAGAAATAAAAATAATTTAGGGAATCAATACTTCAATAGCAGGAACCATCTATGAAGTTTAATTTTGGTGGTCAGCTTCATGTCCAGCTTCGTGATCAATCAATTATAGGAAGCAACATGCCAAATCTGTAAGGAGAGCTTATAGAAATGCCGAAGTGTTCCTTTCAAGACGCTAGGACTGTGTGTGTTGATTATGATTCAGTGGATGAAATCGACTTCAAGGACATCAAGAATTCTGCTACATAACTTAATTATCCTAATCCGATTCATATTCAACGTCATACAGGTAGGCTTTTAATTAACGCAAATTGTCTTTCTCATGAAAATGTAGATAACAATAGATTGAAGAGTCATGAAACAGGTTACAGAGGTGATCACATGTATGGTAAATGTGTTATCTTGTGGTTAATTTCACTTACGTAATTCGTCCATCCTGCGTCATGATGAGTACTTTAGGTGTGGTAAAATAGGGCTGTTCAATTAGACACGAGTAATACTGAACCTTGTAATTCGGATCGTATTAATTTAGGTGATTCCGATAATCATATACTATCCTTATTTAAAACCCCGACCGTTGTTGCTACCTTGACGTGGTGGTCGGGCTTGCCTATCGTGATGAAGCAACCGAGCTATACTGACTGGAACAACCGTTCCTCAAGGTCCTACCATGTCAGACAGGTCGGTTGAAGAGCGGTAAGACTAAAAGCAACAAACCCAAGGTCCGAAGGTGAAGTCGTACTGCTGACTGTACAGAGGTGTGACAGCAGTAAGGTGTTTCCTTCAGACAACCAGCATGACAGCGATGCTGCCTTCCCACAAGGAGGGGTGGGGTTAGAAAAGGTCGACCCTAAAAATGCACACCTCACCTTACCTCACGGATTTCCGTCTCCGGCGGTAAGGCCCTTTGAAGAACGGAGCTAACACGTCGAAAACCTTCCACGAAAAGGCCGTGCGCGACCGGCCTCAAGCAGTTATCCCTTGGGCACTGCGGTCACGCTCTCAGGTCACTGAGACCACCTCTAATCCAATTTCCTTTTCAGGTACCTCCAGAAGAACCCTTCCACGGTGTGGGCAACCGGGAAGTGATAACCGCCCTCATACCTCTAACAGCACCCAAGACCACTGTATTCATAATCAACCTTCCTCTTCAATTCCTATTATTCCTCCTACATCGACTTTCAACCCTAAACTTCCTCCTTCGGCTTCCTCCTCAAGTGTCACCATAGCCAACGATTCTAGTGCTCAAAACTCTGTCCCAGGTCTACTGAAACCTCGCTCCAAACTACACATTGGAGCTTTCAACGTACGCACTCTATGTCAAATCGGTCAGCAGGCTTTCTTGGCTAAAACCCTAGAGTCTCTCTCCATTGATGTATGCTGTGTCTCTGAAACACGCATACAGGATCCCAGTGTGGTCATTCACTTGACCTCACCTCGGCAAAACGGAGAGCCAACGAGGTACACCCTTCGTGTATCTGGTGACCCGATGGCAAGTTCTCGTGGACTGGCAGGTGTAGGCATAGCACTAAGCATGAGGGCCGAACAAGCACTGCTAGAGTGGATCCCCGTCAACAGTCGTCTATGTGCTGTTCGGCTGAACGGCTACGTAAGAACTCGGAAGGATAGGGACACACGTCGTTGCCTTTTTGTCGTTTCTGTCTACGCTCCCACTGACTGCAGCTCAGATGAAGTGAAAGATGAATTTTACAGAAAGCTTTCTGAACTTCTTCA